TTCAAGAAACTGCAACACATCTTAAAAACAGAATTTATAATTTGAGGGGGGTAAAACATGCAATTTAAAAACTATAATAAGATCACAGATGCAACAGTTCCTTTTTTATGAAATTCAAGCATGCTCATAAAGGAAATTTGAAATTAAAAGTAGGAAGATGAAAGAGAAAAGTTCTTTGACTTTAAACAAACACCAGTATTTTTTGGTTTTGTCCCATTTAAGTTGCATTTTCTTTAAATATCAGCCCCACAAATAAAAGTGATTTAAGTATTAAAAGATGTCTTAAGACATTATATTATAAGAAAGTTTAATTCTCTTATTTGGTCATTTGAAAAGAAAAACACATGCTACCAGAATCTCTATTCCAAAAAAACCACTTGATTAAGACGTTATCAACGAAGAGGTGTGAATTAAATTTAGATACATTGCTTATTTTCATTACCTTTCCAAGTTCAAAACTGTGGAACAATAATGATTTCTAGTTTATAATATCATTGGAAAATTAATTATATTGGTGATTATTCCAAAGATCTCCCTTTAGAAGGGTCAGAGGCTAGAAGTGACGTTCTCTTCTAACAAGGTTTTTTTTCCCCTTCTGGTTTATCAAATAGTTCCCAGAAGAAATCAATGCTTGATAATCCTAGGTTGCAAAAGGAAAAATCATTACTGTATTATGTAGTTCAGTAATCTTAATTTATATTTTTTTAATTATAGATGGACACAATACCTTTATATATTTTTATCAAACCCAGTGCCTCATACATGCAAGACTAGCACTCTACCACTGAGCCACAACCCCTTGCCCCTGAATTTATATTTAAACTTTCAACATGTTTATGCTTGAATTTTGAGTGTGACTGAATATGAGTGAATCATTTGAGAGGACACAGGACACCTTGCAAGGAAGGGCTAGCCAATATATTGCTTTCGGGTAACAGCTCTGACTTCATCCACTTAGTTCCACAAGGGAAGAAGCCCTCAAGGCCTCTCTCCAGGACAGTCTGACTCAGTAGGAAAAACACAGATCTTCATCTAAGCCATTGTTGTAGCATCCTCTGGAAATCCAGAATGGATGTGCTTCTCAACTTTGACCAAAAGAACCATAAACATTGAAGAAATGAACTACCCCTGTCCAGCCAGCTACTGGCCACATGGCCATCTCAACTTGTGCAGGTGAAATTAGCAAAAGGTCCTTTTTGCCTCTAAAATATTATCAAATTCTGGAGGTTAAAAGCAGATGCTATAATTTTATATTCCTTTGTTTGGAGCCTAAGATCTCACTTCATTCATACCCTACAAAAACATCATTAAACATTCATTCTCTGTATTTCACTAATTATTCACATCCATGATGGCCTTGCTGTAAGTTGTCCTTCAAAGGCAAACTTAATAACACAGTAACAGGCTTATATTAAGACGCTGATAGAATAATTGGAAAAATTACAATTTTTCAGTCTTTAATTGAAAGGCTTTTTTCAAAACCCAGGGTATCTTTCCAATGAAAATTGGAAAAAAAAATTTATTCAAGAAAAAAGCCTGTATCAGAAGGCAATCTGATTTGAATTCATTAAATATAAATTATAACATTTCAAAAGCTAATTGCAGGTTCCAAAACGGAAATGGTACCACACAAGATACAGGTATGGCAAAATATAAACTACATGGTTTATAATATGAAGGGTTGAAAAATAAATAAGCCGGACACAATGGCACATGCCTATAATCCTGGCAGCTTGGGAGGATTGTGAATTCCAAGCCAGGGCTCAGTAACTTAACGAGGCCCTAAGCAACTCAGGGATACACTGTCTCTAAATAAAATGTAAAAAGTGTTGGGAATGTGGCTCAGTGGCTAAGTACCCCAGGGTTCAAACTCCAACACCAAAATAAATAAATAAATATTTAGAAGAAAAGGAAACTGAATTTTCATGATCTCAAAATGAAAACAACTATAAGCTATTATTTTCATTGGAAGGGGAAGAAGATTTGAAATGTAAAAAATTCATAAGGCAAAATATATTCCTATGTGATAGAGGATTAAACCAAGCATACAAGTAAAATAGACTTTGTTGTTTTTTTTCAGACCAATTCTAAGTTTAAAAATGGAAACAAGACAACAAAATCCAGATTTACCTGGAAAGAACAAAAAGGCACTTGTATTGAGATTAGAAAACTTCTTGGTATTAAAATAATCAAATATGATATGTATGTCTATTTAGATTTTGATTTTCCTTTACAGAGGGATGACTTTCTTATATATGGATCAATTGATAAATGTAATTGGCCTTGGCATTAATATCATGCAATTGATATTTATTTATGGATATAACTGGCCAATAAGTAAACTAATATATTATGTCCAGTTCATTAGTTCTTCTTAGTATATAATGATGATACCAGGGCTTTTTTTAAGTCTCTAAGAGAGTTTCTACTCTTATATCTTAATTTCATAATGATCATGTCTTCTTTGAAAAACAGTTAAGATGCTGCTAGTCATTGAAAAAGTCAACATTGGTTCTTTTTACTGAAAAATAAATAATGCCATAACTTTAAAAATTAGCACTCCATCGTGAATTTATACCCAAGGTTCAAGATAAAGAAAAACGTACAGATGATTAATTCATATATGTCCAGAATAATATAGTCCAAAGAAACTGGGCTGGGTAATTTCCCGACAAATTCAAGTGGTCATGACGTTCAGTTCAAATCTAACTCAAACATCTAAATAAAATATCTGTGGCAGGCAGAATAATGACTTCCCCATCTACGAATAGGATATATTATGGGATAAGGAGTGGGTTAGGTTAGCAGATTAAACTGGGGTTGCTAATCAGATGAATTTTAAATTGGAAAATTATCCTTCATCATCCGGGTGGGCCCAATTTGATCACAAAGGTCTGTAAATGTGGAAAATAGAGGCAGAAGTGTGAGAGGCACAATGATGACAGGTGAGGGTGGACTCTGCCATTGCTGTCTTGGATATGGGAGGGGTTACAAGCCAAGGAATGCATGTAGCCTCAGGAAGACAGAAACAAAGGTCCTGGATTCTCACCTAGAGTCTCCAGAAGAAACAAACCCTGTCAACACCCTGATTTTATCACTGGGCTCTGTTTCAGACTTATCACCTCCAGAACTACAAGGTAATAAATTTGTGTTGTTTCAAGACACTGAGTAATGTCTTATAGCAGCGATACATAGCGTGACTATGCAGTCAAGGGTCAAGGCTGTAATATGTAACAGGGGTGTGTCCGTGTGCATTTTTGAAGGAATTATGACTCAAACTGATTAGTACAATCTCCTGAATACCTTGACCAGTCATTCAAGTTTTGTGATTAAAGGAAAATTTAGCCATATGCCAAACAGACCCAAAAGCAAAGTCATGAGAACAGAAACCCATTGTCCCTAATAAATACATTTCAAGCCCTATGCCAACTTGACATTTCATTAGCAAAAGAAGTTGCCACTCCTTATTTTCAAGGAAATAAGGTAAGAATGTGTTTATATTTCTTATGTTATATAACATTCTTGTTTATAATGTTCACTTATTATAAATAAAACTCATATGTTCAAATCCTAACCTCCAAGGTGATAATATTAGAAGGTGGGCTATTGAGGAAATGATTAGGTCACCAGGGCAGAACCCTCACAAATAAGACTGGTGCCTCTATAAATAGGCTCAAAAAACCTCCTTCACCTCTCCACCATTTGAGAATACAGTGAAAATGCACCATCTCTAACCAGGCAGCAGGCCCTTGCCAGACACCAATTGCCAGCACTTTCATCTTGGACCTACCTAAAACTATGAGAAATAATTTCTGCAGTTTATAGTTGGTGATAACAGCCCAAATGGACTAAGACAGGTGCTATGGAAGCAATCTTCTCTTTCTAAAGCCAACAGCAGGAATGTTTTGATTGCACTAGTAGATTTGAGTAAGACAATAGCAATCCTTATATAGAATAAAATGCTCTCATAGAAGAAATGAGCCACTTTTTAAATGCTACGTCTATTTCCTCTACCTGATTATCTCATATTCTATCTCATCACCTGAGCATCTAAAAGACCCATTTGGCTATGGAGATTAAATATTGGTAGGTTTAATATACTTCAGCATCCTGATCTATCTGGGCATCTCCACACTGTCTATCAACTTAGGGCAAGGTGACAAGGGATCCATTTTTAAAGTGTGGGGTCTTGCATTTGCCTATGGTCTGAATGGCACCCAAGTCCCATTCCTTGCAGACTAACATTCCCTTGTCTCTTCTGCATTTCACAGAACCAACTGCACACCAAAGCAGGTTTGGGGGTACAAAGGTGGTCATAAAGGCTTTTCATACTGGCCACAAGTCAAAAATTAGTATCACTGTGATGGACCCAGAATTCACCTGGTTCTTATCAAAAGGTGTGAATCTTAGCAAAATTGTTATCATCAAAATGATGTGAATAACTTGCAAATCACTATTCCAGTTCATAGATGTTTCCCTTCTATCATGTTCTCTATGTACATTTTATTTGGGGGGGCTTTAGTGATTTGAGGTCTTTAGGATTCCCTGTTAAATTGCTAATATTCCTAGGATACTAACCAGAGAGCTCTAAAAAATATAATCCAGAATGCAGAATTGACCTGGAATTGGGGGCCTCCATGGTAGGCTAATAGAGTTTACAAATAAAATCTTGGCCTTGAAATGTTTTGGTACCTATCTTATTTCTGAAGTGTAATCTATTGAACATGTCATTGGTCCATTGACTATTCTCCCAAAACAAACCTACTATCTTCATTTAGCATTCCAAAGCAAGTATATAAGACTGTTCATGTGTGATTTTTCTATAGTCAACAACCAAATATAATGAACCCCCAAATTAAGGCATATATGGAGTTAAATGTCATCTTTGGATTTTGACACGCTCAGTTACTGGAGAAAAATGTTTAAAAAATATTTTCTCCTGGAAGATTAGAACTGCATAATACATTTCTTTTTTAGTGAATACTAAATGATAAACTTACATCGGAATTAAATCTCAACTGGCAAATGTTGCATGATATGATTTGCTTTCTTCGATGAGGAAGAGGAACCCCGAATGTATGATTTATTACAGCTTTCTGAATCGGGTCCATCTGTAATGAGAAAAATACAACAAATAGAAATAAAGCTTGTCAGTTCCATTGGAATGTTGCCTATTTTATTAAAGAGCCAATCTGTACAGCTTCCATCTACTGTTCACATTATAAAGACCATTTTTATTCTAAGAAAAGGCATTTCTACTTTCGTGGAAAAGAGATAACAATAAGCCTGAAGCTCAGTATGATAAGGAAATGAAAAATGTACCCATTAGAGTCTGCATACTAAGTGCTTTTCTCATTTAGGATTAAGAATTGTTGCAGTTAGATAGTCCTTAAGTATAATTGAAGGTTTATCAAAACGAGTTCTTGCTAATGCCAGTAACCTATACCATTGCCCCTAAATGGACTTCAAAACAGACTTGATCAGTTGAGCAACTGTGAAATTAAATATACATTATTAGTCAACTTTAACCTTATGCTATGCTTGGAATCTTTTAGCTTCTAAACATATAGCATACAAATCTATTTTTCAAGAATTGACACATATGAAGTTGTTATTTAAGTCATTCAGCAATCATTTATTGACCTTCTAATATATTCTGATATCCTATGAACTTAATTTGGTGGTTTACAGAGCTTTGGTCAGATGTCTGTTCTCTCTCTCCATTCCATCCCAAGATAGGACAAGCAACAACAAAACCTAATATCAGAAATCCACTTCTGATAAAACTTAATGTCCATTCACTACACTCTGTCTTAGGGTTCACGTGCAGGATTCTCAATAGTTACAGCCACATCAAAATTCTGACTTGCTTCTTAATTTTTCTGCAATATCTTTGATCCTCTCTTTTTCTTTTTTCTTATCATGGTTACTGGGGATTGAACTCATGGTTTCTCTACCACTGAGCTATATCCCTAACTCCTTTTTATTTTTTATTTTGAGACAGGGCCTTGCTATGTTGCCTAGGCTGGGGCTCTAACTGGTGAACCTCCTATTTCAGCTTCTCAAAGTTTTTGATGAGGTGTAAATGTGATAATTCATGAAATTTACTTAACACAATCCATTCTGTGTGCATTAAGACACGAATAGATGTTGACTACTATGTTTTATACATTGTAAGCCATGTGAAGAAAAAGGTTGCATCAGCCTCACAGTCCTATAGTCATTGTTGACAACCTACCCATTTCACATATGGCCTAAAACAATTCAAAATTATTCAAATTCTGTCCATCTGTCCAACTGTCTGTCTATTTATTTATTCCATGACTTCTGTTGAAACCTTACAAACTTAGGAACTTTTTTATTAAATTTTCAAAGCTATGATAAGAGTCCTTACCAAGACTTGAGACAGCCCAGAAATGACTTGTCATACATTAAAAAGCTAAGAAGGTGTCTGAAAAATGATGTCAAATATTTAGCTTGTGTTCCACATTAAGTTCATTAATTCCTCTAAATAGGACATCAATAAATTTCACTGGGTTTTGTGTATTTCCAGTCACTGGAACTAGTTGGCTCCCAGGCTCCCTCTAAGGATAGGGAGAAAAAAGTTTCTGTCTCTTCTGTATTCCCATCTCCTCATTAGGTACTTTTGATGCACACTTCTAAACAACAGCAACAACAACAACAAAAAATAATAGCAGTCAGCATTTATTAAGTGCCTTCCAGGTGGGAAGCAGTTAGAATGACCGAGAACTCATGGGTCTGATCATTTTTATTGGCCACCTCCCCTTTGAATTTATCATCTCATGTCAATACTTGCCCGGATTCTAGATGAAACTCAGGCTGCCCCCTGTCATTTCTAGTCACTTCCAGGTATATACAAATAATAGGATTCCCCCCTCCCTTACTGCTGAATTCTACCATACTGTCTTCTGAATCAGCTGAAATTAGGTATCTTTAAATATTTATATACATTATAAGATTCACCAATATTAAGGGTACAAGCTGATGGGATATGATAAATGCCTTCAGTCACAAAAATTATCAGAGAGAACATTTCCAGGTAATGAAACAGTTCTCCCCTTCCACTCTGAGGTCAATCTGTCTTCTACTTCCGGCCCAAGGCCACTGGTAGGCTTGCTTGTCACTAGAGTTTTGTTTACTCTAACTCTATATAAATGGCATCAAACAGTTTATTGTCACTGTGTCTAGCATCCTTCATTCTGTCTAATGCTTGTAAAGTTCACCTGTGTTGTTGCGTGTCTCAGTAGTGGGTTTCTTTTTATTGCTGAGTGGTATTCCCTGTGTACCAATAGATCACAGTGTTTGTAGATTTTCCAGATGATGCGCATTTGGATATTTTGCATTAACTTCTATGATCTTTTCAAGTGTTTAACAAACTTGAAATCTAAACTCACCTTTTAAATTCTGTCCAGGATTGTCATCTAAACTTTGAAAAATCAGTTTAAAATTACAGTATCCTTTTCCCTTAGCATGGTCCAGCTACAGGGAAACCTACTGCCAACTTTCCCATCCCAGCCTCGCTTCCAAACTTTCCTCAACTCCACCTCATTCCTGTTTCCACCCAATAAAAATTAACAATGCACAAAGTGTGAGACAGTAGTTATGCAAGTGTATAAATAGATGAGATGGTCTCAACAGCTCCCATCCTCCTCCCTGTGACAACCTCAGAAATGATTAACCCTTAAGCCATTAGCAGAAGGAAAAATTAAAGGCAGAAAGAGGACACCACCTTGGAGAAGTTCTCATATGGTCCTGTTGGGTGTGTTCTGTGTACAAACAAAGCCCTTTTCTTTTAGAGGATCAGGTGAATCATGCCTACAACTCATTAAGAAATATTAAAGTCTCATAATGATGCTTTGAAATATAAATGTACTGCAATATTTATATCAAAGATACACTCTGAAAATACCCATTGCCAATTTTTATCATATATTGGTGAGCAGGGTATTATTTTGGTCTTTTGATAACACTGGGGAAGCTGCGTTTGCGATTATATTCAATCCAAAACTGTGTAGGAGGTATTTTGGAACTAGACACTTCATGCAAATGTGACATATTCTCTAGATTAAATTCTTTTGTTTGAATTGAATGATGCTCTGATCACGGTGGCTATAAAATCAGATTTCAAAATGCAAAGTGGTGTATTATTCTTTAGAGACAATTTTATTTCCCGGTATACTTAAGGGGGAATAAAAAAACCAACACTTAACAGAATTATACTTTGAAGATGGATTTCACAAACTGCAACTACATCACCAAAAGTAATTATCTTTCATCATTTTAGAATCTAATGCAACAAGATTATAAAAGTTAACACCTTTCTTAATAAAAGTAAACAATAATCTCTACTGTATGTGTTAATATAAACACATATATAACAAATTACAATGAGTAATTATAAAGGTCTAAATACTAGTCATTGTTTAATATTGAATTAGATGATATCACATGCTTTGCTAGTAAAAATATTATCTATTATCCAATCTATAGATATATACACAGCCATTTAGATCATTTAACTTAATGTTATAATTCTTTACCATTATAAACTTTCTGCTTAAAAGAAAGTCATATGTTGATTTTTCTCTCCACAAACCAATAGATCTGTTCTGTTAAAACAATAATCTCTCACAAATATGTGCATGTATTGTTATCAGGTTTTCTGCAAAATCAGCCTTAATAGAGGCCAGTGTATGAGGGGTTCTTGGATCAAACAAGTTGTAGAAAATTAAAATACTAGCCCAGAGATTCACAGTGCACAACAATATTAAAATATGAGATACCCTAAAATAAAATTGCTTTAATTTAGCTTATAAAATAATATGTAGCCTATATATATATATATATATATATATATATATATATATATATATATTAGTTTGCTCTTCTGTTCGTTTTAAAATTCAGCATGTTTTTTTTTTCTATACACGCAATTTATAAAATAGTGACCTGTGAAAAAGAAAAGTCATTTTAAAAAAATGCAAATAAAAAATAAAGGCTTGGGTGTAAAGACACTAAAATTATAACACATAGAAATCAGGATACATACAAATCTTCAGCCACATTCTACTATAGTTTGAAATTGCATTAAAAGCTAAAGAAATGGCAAAAATCGATATGGTCTTTTATGACATATTTGTCTGATTTCCAAATTGGGATATTTTACAGGGTAGAATATCTGAATCCACCTTCCACCTTCTCAAAACAAAAGCAAAGAATGGTACACTACCGACTGATATGCCCACCCAAACTCAAGACTAAAATTCAATTTCAAACTCAGCCTATGGCCTTATTTAAAGCCAAAATGATTCACACTTCCTGCTTAGCATTGTTTTTGCTATTCTGGGTCTTTTATTTTTCCATATGAATTTCATGATTGCTTTCTCTATTTCTATAAGAAATGCCGTTGGGATTTTGATTGGCATTGCATTAAACCTATAGAGAACTTTTGGTAATATCGCCATTTTGATGATGTTAGTTCTGCCTATCCATGAACAGGGTATATTTTTCCATCTTCTAAGATCTTCTTCTATTTCTCTCTTTAGGGTTCTGTAGTTTTCATTGTATAAGTCTTTCACCTCTTTTGTTAGGTTGATTCCCAAGTATTTTATTTTTTTTGAAGATATTTTGAATGGAGTGGTTGTCCTCATTTCCATTTCAGAGGATTTGTCGCTGATATACAGGAATGCCTTTGATTTATGCGTGTTGATTCTATATCCTGCCACTTTGCTGAATTCATTTATTAGCTCTAATAGTTTCTTTGTAGAGCCTTTTGGGTCTGCTAGGTATAGAATCATATCATCTGCAAATAGTGATAATTTAAGTTCTTCTTTTTCTATTTTTATGCCTTTAATTTCTTTCGTCTGTCTAATTGCTCTGGCCAGTGTTTCGAGAACTATGTTGAACAGAAGTGGAGAGAGAGGGCATCCCTGTCTAGTTCCAGATACCAGACTTCAAACTATACTACAGAGCAATAGTAACAAAAACAGCATGGTACTGGTACCAAAACAGGCGGGTGGACCAATGGTACAGAATAGAGGACACAGAAACCAATCCACAAAACTACAACTATCTTATATTTGATAAAGGG